TTTCTAGTAAATTTGGAACTCGACAGCCTAATCCAAATAAATGTAAAACAAGAATAATTATGACTCCTAAACAACATAAGACGCACATCCATCAATTTTCACCTTAACTTGAATTCTACAAATCACCTTAAAAATAACCATATCAATATCAATTATGAAAATCTGCCACATTCAAACCATCACGGCCCACATTCCACACCGAGATGCCAACACCCCTTACGATATTTTGATGTGACTCTTATCTCTGCTTCTTTGAGCACACAGCTGGATAAATCACCACTACTAACCAAACCCACATTGAGAAAGACCCACTTCGTCCCATAATGCGCATCGTCTTGTTACGCCAACTCTCTCAATCAATCTATATGGAGTTTTCTTTGTGAACATCTAGCAATCGTTGCTATCGCTTCTGGCCAAAATCTTGCACACTAGTCACTTGCACACCTATAGGCCATGTTGTGTCCGCATACCTTTGCGCCTAAGTGTGCATCTGTAACTATGTCACCCATACATTTTGTCTGTGTACATTGTCCCCGGTGCTTTGCTGCTGATCACTAAACGGGCAGTGTGGTCAGATTTATACCCACACACTATGCTCATTAGATTTCTAGTAAATTTGGAACTCGACAGCCTAATCCAAATAAATGTAAAACAAGAATAATTATGACTCCTAAACTACATAAGACGCACATCCGTCAATTTTCACCTTAACTTGAATTCTGCAAATCACCTTAAAAATAACCATATCAATATCAATTATGAAAATCTGCCACATTCAAACCATCATGGCCCATATCCCACACCGAGATGCCCACACCCCTTACGATATTTTGATGTGACTCTTATCTCTGCTTCTTTGAGCACACGGCTGGATAAATCACCACTACTAACCAAACCCAGATTGAGAAAGACCCACTTCGTCCCATAATGCGCATCGTCTTGTTACGCCAACTCTCTCAATCAATCTATATGGAGCTTTCTTTGTGAACATCTAGCAATCGTTGCTATCGCTTTTGGCCAAAATCTTGCACACTAGTCACTTGCACACCTATAGGCCATGTTGTGTCCGCATACCTTTGCGCCTAAGTGTGCATCTGTAACTATGTCACCCATACATTTTGTCTGTGTACATTGTCCATCCATATTACTTGCTTGATGTTTGACAACAACTTCACTTGTCACAATACTCCCCACAAGCCTATATATAGGTTTCCAATCATCTTTCAACCCGCTCATCTTGAATTTTTTTTGTTACACATATGGTAATCCGATTGAAAAAAAATAAATAAATAATTAAAGTAAACAACTCCTATTACACTTGTGGTTGTAAAACAAATTGATGTATATTATTGATTGATTGTATGTTGATATGGGGGGTTAATTTTTCATTTTAGCTTTTAAAATTTATTATTATTATTATTTTTTACTTTGACTTTTCATATTTTAATTTTTTTTTGTTTACTTTACGCTTAAAATTAATTTCTGTTAAAAATTAGACATAAAATGATATATTGACAGTCATGTGGCAATATATAACTTACACTTTTGACATAAATTTAAACTGTAATATAATAATATATTTTTTATATTACGTGACAGTTATTATGATAGTTTTTGTCTAATTTTGAATAAAAATTAATTTTAAGAGTAAAATGAAAAAATTTTGAAATACGAAAAGCCAAAGTGGAAACAAATAAATTTTAAAGACGGTCCGTTTGGGAAGGGCTTTTCCGGGTTTTTTTGGCTATTTTAGCCACAAAAGACAAAACAGGCTATTTTAGCTACAAAAAATAAAACATCACATCCAACCCATAATCATTACACTCTTCTCTCACAAAAAAAGTCAAAAAAGCTAAAAAGCCAAAAAGTCCTTCCTAAACCAAACTTTTTAGCCCAGGCTAAAATAGCCAAAAAATCCAAAAAGCCAACCCACTTCCCAAACGGAGGCTAAATGAGAAAGTGGCGGCCAAATATAAAAAGATAAAGTGTAATTTACCCTTACCCCTTTTTTCTTCTTCTTCTTCTTCTTCTTCTTCTTTTTTTTTTTTGTTTTTTTGTTTTTTTTTTGTTTCAGTCTTATTATTAATTTTTCTTCCGTCCTATTATTATTGTTATTTAAGATCTTTATTTTATTTTTATTACTTCTGTCCTATCCTATTTCAAGTGAGATAACTTTTTCCCTTTATAGTTGAAATCAATTGCGAAAAATTACAGGGATAAGCTCCCATCTATATCTTATCTCTTCATACTTCTCTATATTCTTTTTGTAGATTTCAATTTAAACCCTTATTAATGATCTGGACTGTCTATCTTGTAAGTCCCGCAATAAAGGTTATTCATGTAAAAAATTAACTTCATCGAATAATTATAAACATAAGAATAAATCGCATTTTTTTATTATAAAATAAATGGTAAATAACCATCCATTTTTATAAAACAAAATGCGATTTATTCCTAGGTTTATAGTTGTCCGATGAAACTAATTTTTTGAATTGATGACTTTCATTGCTGCGTTTACGAGATAAACGGTTCGGATTATCAGTGCGAGTCTGAATTGAAACCCATTAAAGGGGTATGAAGAGGTATAAGGGAGCTTATCCCTAAAATATTTTCCTCAATCTATAAATACATAATACACTAATAAAGAGGCCTCTTTTGGAAAGTGTGTTAAAAGTCACTTCCTAGCTTTTAACCTATTTTTGGTCACATCTTCTCTCACATTTTTAAAAAAAAAAAATAATAAAAAAAGTTAGCTTTTAACCATCTTCCCAAAATATCCTATACATACTACTGTATAGAGGAGAGAGAGAAGTATGTTGGGGATATTCTAATATATATCCATTTAAAAATAGTGTATCATATATACTCCTAATTATGTCATTTTCTTCTTTAGTTATGATTAATTTTCTTTTTTAATTATGACTCATGGGTTTTTTAGTTATGTCTTATATTTTGTTTAGTTATGACTTTTTTTTCTTCTTTTTTTTTATTCAAATTATGACTCAGAAAATTAAAATTATGTCATTCTTTTTAATTTTAACGTGCATATGGAGCACAATTTTTGAAGGGTGCACACGATAATGTTTCGCTCAATTTTGAGGTAACTTGCACCTACTCTGTTTTGATTATTATGTTGTGTTTGTGATTCAAAGTTCTATATATATATATATATATATTTTTTTTTGACCTTTTTATATGAAAAATAAATATATAAGTATTAAATTAAATACAAATGTGAGTTGATGAAGGGAAGGGTCTATTAATATCCGATCAACTTGATTTTTATAAGTATGTTCTACTCGATATTCTTTAAAAATTTAACGATTCGAATGATGAAGATAAAGTCTGAAATAATTCTCATAAACTACACAACAATTACTACAGTGACTCCAAATCCACACTGGACACTTCCTCTAAAACAGTTCATGCCCTTAGGCTTCGCTTGGAAAGAAGTGTTGGGTTGGGTTTAGAGATATTTTAGTCACAAAAAGACAAAATAGGTTTTTTAACCTAATAAGACAAACATATCACATCTAACTCATAATCATTATATTTTTTCTCTCACAAAAAGTCAAAAAAACAAAAAAACCCTTCACAAACAAGGCATTTTAACCTCAAACTAAAATAGCCAAAAAATTAAAAAGTCAACTTGCTTCCCAAACGAAACCTTAGTAGATTTCAAAATATATTTTATAAACCTTCAATTAATTATCTCCCTTAATCCAATATCCATCCTCTCCCACCCTAAACTCTAATTTAAAAAGAGACATATATTGTTATTATTTCAGTTACATTAACCTAGCCCCTAGCACTTCTTGACCAATCAAGTTTACTATTGTTTGGGCTCTTTAATAAAATCCTTTCGTAGAAATATAAATTTTTTGGGCTAAAATTATCATCTAATTTAATTAAATATCAAAAGCAAACGTAATGATTTTTTTATGAAAAAATATAAAATTTAATATATTGCATATCTGATAATAAGTCATTCTATAAAAATGCAAAATAAATCCTAAAATAATAGAAAAAATCTCTACACATGGAAGATACGAGTCTCCACATAAGAAAAAAAAATCACAATGCATATAACAAGTCAAAAGTCATGACCAACACTTTAATAGATAACAACCAAAAACCACAATGTCTGTGCCGTAGAACTTTCCATAAAGAAACATTTTGCATTTTAAAAACAACTAACTCTAAACTCAGAGCATCTCTCTCTGAGCTTCCCTCCCTAAGCCTTCTGTTGGGCATGTTGCTGGGATGAGAAGGGGTTCCAACCTCATCTCTTCTCTTTCCACTCATTTTTTTCCTTTTTATTTGTCTTTTTACTTAATAATATTGGAAGCTTATCATTCCAACCCTTTTTAACACTGTTGCCGCCATCACACCGCCACCTTCCCTTCTCTATGGATCCACTTTCACCTGATTTGCCTTATCTCTTTCAAATCTGCCTCTGGCTATCGGTGTTGGTGTCCCTTCACCCTCTTTTTGATTTTTCAAATATGATATTTGGCTTGTGCCCAAACTTTCACTTTTGCGTCCAAAATTTTAAGATATGTTTTCAGATTTTCTCACAATCCGAAGTCCAACGCTTTTTAACGTGTTAGTTTCACATTAGGCGATCATCTCAACTTTAATATTTCATCTTGACTAACGGAGGTGGTAGAGTTTTCAGATTTTAAGTTAAAGGTTGCATTATAATAGAGTTTTAGATGCGTTTGGCAACTTGGATATGGTTGTTTTCGATTTACTTTTTTATTTTTTTATTATTTGCTGTAATAATCCTCTCTATGTAGAGGTTATGCCCCTCATTTGTGTTGATTTTTTCTCCTCTTCTATAGAGGTTAGGATTCTTCCTCCAATAGAAACTTGTTATTTTTTATGAGATATTTTGCTATCACTATACGAAACTGATCTTTTTTTCTTTTTCTTTTTTTTTTTTTATCGATTTTATAATAAAGATTTTCCTCGTCATTTAAAAAATAAATAAAAGAAAAGAAAAGAAAAGAAAGAATGAAACAAAAATAAAGAATGGAAGGATAAGGAAGTTATAAACTTCTAAAAGTCAATTAGAAACTTACAACCTCCGGAAGACTCAGGCCGTTCCATAGGCGCGAATGGCTGCGGGATGAGCTTCCCAACTGCAACAACAAGGTCTGTATATACAAAAATAACTACTCACACAGAAAGGGCCTCTGTCTCTTCCCTCTCTCATACACACACTCTTGATGATGACGGAGAATAAATCAAGTACACGACACTTTCATATTTCATTCTTTTTGTCTAATTGTGTATTATTGTAATACTAATATTTGATATATACAAGTTCACATAAATTGAACCAATCAGTTACTCACTCAATTAGGGCAATATCCATTCAGTTCAGTGTTGATGCCTTTCTCTACTGTCAAGGTTCAAATTGTTTTTTTCTTATGCTCTGTTTTTTTTTTTTTTGTTTTGTTTTTCCTCAACCATCAAAGGACTTCCGCCAGACCACCTTCCCAAGCCCAGATCTGAAAAGGCTTTTGGGTTTTCCAATTGAGAAGTGCAAAGCCCCACTGCTGCTCAACTACGTACTGACTTATAAGTTTGTTCTGCCCGATGTTCCCAAACGAAGTAAGACTCCTCCATCTGCCACAACTCCACCAGCCACTTCATCACCAAGGCTAGACCAAGCCTCTATTTTAGATCTAGTAGAGCAGCTATCCACCTCTGGCCCCCCAACTTATTCCACCATCTTAGCGCCAACGCCGATGCTGATGCCGAGCTCCACCAAAAGCACCTGTCGGTAGGATTCAAAGCTACAAACACCGAGAATCTGAGACATCGGCTTACGATCCAGCTAACCCTCCTATTGCCCTTCCTGTAATCCACCTCGGAACCAAAGTTACTATTGCTGCAACTACCGACGAGATGGGTCGTAGTCAAGTTGTTATTGAAGACCTCTTGGCCGACTTGCCATGAGTGGTTATACTTTAATCATCTTCCTCATCTCAATTCCACCCCAATCCAAAACCCAAACAAGTTAAAAAAGCCAAGGCAAAGGCCACAGTAACACAAATCCCCAGAGACTTAGAGGACACTATGCCAATCTCAAAATTAGCTGAGAAGAGGTAGCCTGCCCCTAAGAAGAAGCCTGCCAAGGTTGAGGCCTCCAACACAACTCGTTCGAAGAAGCCGAGGTCTGGAGGTGCAGCGGGCCCAGATGCTTTGAAAGCCAATGAGCTCTGGTCTCCAGCGATTATGGTTGGGGATCGATCGACAACAGCTGGCGACAGTGCCATCGACAACATTGAGGTCGACGCTCTCTCCACCGCTGTGCTCTTGCCGGTCGACTTGAACCGCATGGCTAAAATCAACGAGTACAAAAACTTTGCGCTGATGATGCAGTATTCTGTCTTGGTAAGTCTTCAACACTTGTATTTTCTCATTTTGGTTTTCTATTTGGACTTAAGCAATTTCACTAACTTGTTTATTTCTTTCCTTTTAGGCCATCCAGTATGTTCACTCATTTGTAGTCAAAGCTGAGACCTTCAAGAAAGAGTTGGTCCATAAGACCCAAGAAACTACTGGCTTCCTTACCTCCCTCAACAATGCCAAGGCCAAGATCAAGGTTTTTCTAGATCAGGCTAAGATTGCCAGATGAGCGCAAGAACAAGCCGAGAAGAGGGCCGAGGTGGTGGAAGCTGTGGCCAAGGTACTCATGGCCAAGGTCAAGGAAGCCGAGGGCAAAATAGCCAAAGCCCAGGCAGAGCTCTAGGAGGCCTTGGTGACCAAGCAGGCCGAGATCAAGGTGACGGATGAGAAGGCAGTCTCAGAAAGGCAAGCTGCAGTTTTAGCTACAAAAAATAAAACATCACATCCAACCCATAATCATTACACTCTTCTCTCACAAAAAAAGTCAAAAAAGCTAAAAAGCCAAAAAGTCCTTCCTAAACCAAACTTTTTAGCCCAGGCTAAAATAGCCAAAAAATCCAAAAAGCCAACCCACTTCCCAAACGGAGGCTAAATGAGAAAGTGGCGGCCAAATATAAAAAGATAAAGTGTAATTTACCCTAACCCCTTTCTTCTTCTTCTTCTTCTTTTCTTTTTGTTTTTTTTTTTTTTTTCAGTCTTATTATTAATTTTTCTTCCGTCCTATTATTATTGTTATTTAAGATCTTTATTTTATTTTTATTACTTCTGTCCTATCCTATTTCAAGTGAGATAACTTTTTCCCTTTATATTTGAAATCAATTGCGAAAAATTATAGGGATAAGCTCCCATCTATATCTTATCTCTTCATACTTCTCTATATTCTTTTTGTAGATTTCAATTTAAACCCTTATTAATGAGCTGGACTGTTTATTTTTTAAGTCCCGCAATAAAGGTTATTCATGTAAAAAATTAACTTCATCGAATAATTATAAACATAAGAATAAATCGCATTTTTTTTATTATAAAATAAATGGTAAATATAATTAAATTTAAACCATCCATTTTTATAAAACAAAATGCAATTTATTCCCAGGTTTATAGTTATTGGATGAAACTAATTTTTTGGATTGATGACTTTCATTGCTGGGTTTACGAGATAAACGGTTCGCATTATCAGTGCGAGTCTGAATTGAAACCCAGTAAAAGGGTATGAAGAAGTATAAGGGAGCTTATCCCTAAAATATTTTCCTCAATCGATAAATACATAATACACTAATACAGAGGCCTCTTTTGGGAAGTGTGTTAAAAGTCACTTCCCAGCTTTTAACCTATTTTTGGTCCATCATCTCTCACATTTTTTAAAAAAAAAAAATAATAAAAAAAAGTTAGTTTTTAACCATCTTTCCAAAATACCCCATACATACTACTGTATAGAGAAGAGAGAGAGAGAAGTACGTTTGGGGATATTCTAATATATGTCCATTTAAAAATAATGTATCATATATACCCCTAATTATGTCATTTTCTTCTTTAGTTATGACTAATTTTCTTTTTTAATTATGACTCATGGGTTTTTTAGTTATGCCTTATATTATGTTTAGTTATGACTTTTTTTTCTTCTTCTTTTTTTTTTTTTTCCAATTATGACTCAAAAAATTAAAATTATGTCATTCTTTTTAATTTTAACGTGCATATGGAGCACAATTTTTGAAGGGTGCACACCATAATGTTTCGCTCAATTTTGAGGTAACTTGCACCTACTTTGTTTTGATTATTATGTTGTGTTTGTGATTCAAAGTTCTATATATATATATATATATATATTTTCGACTACAACACAATCGTCTGATAATTGGTTGGCAATCAAAATTCTGTAAGGACTGATTGATCCTTGTTGGCACGTTCATAATTACAAAAATAACCTTCGAAAGCCAAAAAGCCAACATGTCCTTTTTAATTTTAATGTGCATATGGTGCACAAATTTTGAAGTATGTGCTCCATAATGTTTCGCTCAATTTTGAGGTAACTTGCACTTACTCTGTTTTGATTATTATGTTGTGTATGTGATTCAAAGTTCTATATATATATATATTTTCGATCTTTTTATTTTTAATTTTTTTTTTAAATATTCATTTTGAGTTTACTTCAATTTAACATCCTAATTTTGTGATAAGTGAACTGGAAAATTTTTGTCCGTTCAAAGTGATTTTTGCACAAGAATATTTTGGTATCTTTTGACCTCCAAATTTCAAGAAGGGAAAGCAAAAAGGAGGGAAAAAAATCATGATAGTCATTGACTATATAGTTCAAACACATTTTTGGTATTCGTATGGTTCAAAGAAAATGTAGTTAATTGCATCAATTAAAAATTTCTCTTATTAATTAGCTCTCGTTTGGCATGTTGAGTTGGAGTGTTTTGGTTAAAATAATCATAAAAAGAAAAAATAAACTAAAAAATTAATAAGATAAAATATCATATATAAATCATAATCATTTCACTTTTTTTCTCATAAAATCAAAAAGTCAAAAAATCTAACCCAAACAAGATTTTTAGTCCTAAATTAAAATAGCCAAAAAATTAAAAAGTCAACTTGCTTCCCAAACAAAACCTTAGTAGATTTCAAAATATATTTTATAAACCTTCAATTAATTATCTCCCTTAATCCAATATCCATCCTCTCCCACCCTAAACTCTAATTTAAAAAGAGACATATATTGTTATTATTTCAGTTACATTAACCTAGCCCGTAGCACTTCTTGACCAAACAAGTTAACTATTGTTTGGGCTCTTTAATAAAATCCTTTCGTAGAAATATAAATTTTTTGGGCTAAAATTATCATCTAATTTAATTAAATATCAAAAGCAAACGTAATGATTTTTTTATGAAAAAATATAAAATTTAATATATTACATATCTGATAATAAGTCATTCTATAAAAATGCAAAATAAATTCTAAAATGATAGAAAAAATCTCTACGCATGGAGGATACGAGTCTCCACATAAGAAGAAAAAAATCACAATGCATATAACAAGTCAAAAGTCATGACCAACACACTAATAGATAACAACCAAAAACCACAATGTCTGTGCCATAGAATTTTCCATAAAGAAACATTTTGCATTTTAAAAACAACTAACTCTGTGCCATAGAATTTTCCATAAAGAAACATTTTGCATTTTAAAAACAACTAACTCTAAACTCAGAGCATCTCTCTCTGAGCTTCCCTCCCTAAGCCTTTTGTTGGGCATGTTGCTGGGATGAGAAAGGGTTCCAACCTCTTCTCTTCTCTTTTCACTCATTTTTTTTCTTTTTATTTGTCTTTTTGCTTAATAATATCGGAAGCTTGTCATTCCAACCCTTTTTAACGCTGTTGCCCCATTACACCGCCACCTTTCCTTCTCCATGGATCCACGTTCACTAGATTTGTCTTATCTCTTTCAAACTTGCCTCTGGCTATCGGTGTTGGTGTCCCCTCACCCTCTTTTTGAATTTTCAAATATGATATTTGACTTGTGCCCAAACTTTCACTTTTGCGTCCAAAATTTTAAGATATGTTTTCGGATCTTTTCACAATTCGAAGACCAACGCTGTTTAACGTGTTCGTTTTACATTAGGCGACCATCTCAACTTTAATGTTTCATCTTGACTAGCGGAGGTAGAGTTTTCAGATTTCAAGTTAAAGGTTGCGTTATAATAGAGTTTTGGATGCGTTTGGCAACTTGGATATTATTGTTTTCAATTTACTTTTTTATTTTTTTATTATTTGCTGTAATAATCCTCTCTATGTAAAGGTTATGCCTCTCATTTGTGTTGATTTTTTCTCCTCTTCTATAGAGGTTAGGATTCTTCCTCCAATAGAAATTTGTTATTTTTTATGAGATATTTTGCTATCATTATACGAAACTGATCTTTATTTTTTTATCGATTTTATAATAAAGATTTTCCTCGTCATTTAAAAAATAAATAAAAGAAAAGAAAAGAAAAGAAAAGAAAAGAAAGAAAGAAACAAAAATAAAGAATGGAAGGATAAGAGCATCTCCAATGCACTAGGCATATAATACTTGTTAGTTAAAATGCCTAGTGTGATTTACTTTTTTCACTTCCAATGTACTAGGCATATGTGATTAGGCATTTTGGCTCAACTCATATTCACTAGCTACATGTAGCTAGCCTTCAATGCTAGGCAAAATGTATTCAATCATTAGGATCATTTCCCTCCATCTTTGTTGTTGACGTGACATTCTATAAAATTAATAGTATTTGAATAAATAGCTAAAATAAAGAGTATGATTGGAATAAAAACATAAAACAGTTGATAGACAAAATAAAATATATACTTTATAGTAATATTTAGATAGGTAAAATGCCTATTAGAAACTTACAACCTCCGGAAGACTCAGGCCGTTCCATAGGGGCGAATGGCTGCGGGATGAGCTTCCCAACTGCAACAACAAGGTCTGTATATACAAAAATAACTACTCACACAGAAAGGGCCTCTGTCTCTTCCCTCTCTCATACACACACTCTTGATGATGACGGAGAATAAATCAAGTACACGACACTTTCATATTTCATTCTTTTTGTCTAATTGTGTATTATTGTAATACTAATATTTGATATATACAAGTTCACATAAATTGAACCAACCAGTTACTCACTCAATTAGGGCAATATCCATTCAGTTCAGTGTTGATGCCTTTCTCTACTGTCAAGGTTCAAATTGTTTTTTTCTTATGCTCTGTTTTTTTTTTTTTTGTTTTGTTTTTTAGGATTTGTGTAATTTGTTGATTTTTCTATAAGCTACATAATTAATTGGCTGAAAACACCAAGACAGAATGTAATTTGTGTTATTGTTGAGCTCTGACCTTTTAATAATTTTCCTTTTTAATTTTTTTCATTCAATCTTAAAACTCTCTTCTTCTAGTTTGGTTATATAACTGTTAACTGGTATATATGCTATGGAGACGATCCAAGCCATCTGGGGACGCCCTAACTAATTTTTTTTCCACGTCTTCAGTGCTTTTAAAGGATGTTAGATGTTGAATGTTTATTATTTTTTGCTTTGATTTAAATAATTAATATCTCACACAAAAAAGACATAAGCGATAATACTTAATTTAAGAGTTTTTTTTTTTTCCCACATATATTTAATTAGTGTTGCTTTATTTTTTATTTTTTTGTTAATTTTGATTGTTTATGGATGTAATATTAATCTTCGAGCAATGGTAGAGGGCCCAAATTCTGTGGCTCAAATGTGGCTCAAATAGTCAAAACGACGTCGTTTTGAGTACAAAACAACATCAAAATGGCCAAAACGACGTCGTTTTGGCCATTTGAGCCACATTTGAGCCATAGAATTAGGGCCCCCAAACATTTTTCTTAATCTTCATTGAAAATAAAAAGATATATGTAATTTAATTTTTTTCTTATTGCTGTACCCGTGCTTCTAAGGCTATATGTTAAAATTTTCACCCAGCCAGCTTAATCTTGCTCGTTTGGGAACAGATTATTTTAGTAATTTTTTGACTTTTTACGAAAAGAAGTACAAAAAAATAGAGAGCTGATGTGACTAGTTTTAGTTGACTTTTTGACTAAAATAGTCAGTAAGATTCTGTTTTGGTGATGAAAGTTTGCAAGGTAATACCTCTTGTTGTACGAACAGAATCCACACTCTTTTTAGAATGGTCAAATTGAGGTTTGCTATGCTACTTTTCTTCAGCTAACTATATTAAAATAAAAAATTGGCTGAGCTTTTTTTTATTCTTGTACGGCCTCTTTGGATTGATGGGATTTGTGAGAAACTAATGTTGTGTTTGGTTGGGGATTTGGAGAGGGATTTGGAAAGGGAAATGGAAAGGGAAAATGTGTGTGAAACTAAGTAAAATGTACGCATATTTTATTCACATTTCACCTAACTTTTCCCTTTCCCTTTTCAAATCCCTCCTCAAATTTTCCAACCAAACACGATGTGAAAGAACTGTAGAGCGATGGGTAAGAGGTGAAAAAATGGTGAGAAAGGAAGAGAAATTGTGAGAAAAAAGAACTATTTTGTTCCGGGATTTGTGAGAAACTAAAAGAAATTGTGAGATGAGTAAGGAGGTGAAAAAATGGTGAGAAAGGAAGAGAAATTGTGAGAAAAAAGAAACATTTTGGTCCGTTTCTCACCAAATAAATTTATAATGCCAAAATCACCCATGATAAAAGAAAAAGAACAACAACTTTGTACAGAATATGTAATTTAATACGAAAAATTATTTTGGTAAAAAAACCATAAGATACTTCTTTTCTTTTTCTCTTATGTTCACACCTAGCATAGTCTATATCTGGAGTATACTGTTATTTGTTTTGAGAGAGTTGTTTTTTGTTGTCACTCAGGAATTTTGTTCAAGTTTGATTTTTGATGTTTTATCTTGCAGTGATGTGAGAATTGCTATTTCTGGTGTATATATGTATTTCTAGTGCAATGGCTTCCAATGGTACCACACAGCATACATGTCCACTTCCGATGAAAGCTACATCGAATGGAGTGTTCCAGGGGGATAATCCTCTTGATTTTGCTCTCCCTCTTGCCATTTTGCAGATATGCCTGGTGGTTGTAGTCACACGAGGCCTTGCTCTTCTGCTGAGGCCATTAAGACAGCCACGTGTGATTGCAGAGATTATTGTAAGTTTCTTTCTTGTTTCTATACACATGTAAATTTGATTGGTGTGCAGTTCGTTTAATTTTTATTGGTAACTTGATTCCAATTGTTCCATGCAGGCTGGGCAAATGTAAAATCTTCCTGCTTCTTTATTATTATTTTTTTCTCTCCTTGTTCAAATTTTTTTTTTTTTCCATTTTTTTTTGAATTTCTTTTAATTGTTCTTTAGCTGAGTGCTCCTTGTATGCTAAAATATTTTTATTGTTCTTTTTATTGTTCTGAGCAGTAAAATCTTTTTATTGTGCATCGGAGAAAAAGAAAAAAGAGAAAAAGAAAAATATATCTGATATGAGCTTGAGTTGATACTTATTTTCAACTTTTACTTATTTTCAACTTTCATTTATCAATGATGCTTAAACATGTCAGATTCAGTTTCCAATTTCTCCTTTTTTTCACATCTGGTTTTGTAAAGCAATTAGTAGACCAAACTGTTCTTATTTAGTTAAAGTGATGTAGAGTGATCAGTCGTTAATCTATCTGAACAACTTTAGTAACTCATTATGCTCCGAAACATCTTATTAACATACCAATAATTTGTGTTAGTTGCCTTGTTTCTGTTACCCTATAGTGATTTCATTTCTGGCTCTACACTAAAACTCCACTACCCCATTGCAATGAGGAAATTGTGACCAAGCATTCATCTCATCCTTCACAAGGTTTTACTTGTCTGAACCACAAAATGATGTCTTATTGTATATTTTGCCTTCGGTATAGTTATTGTTTTGCTATCTTCGTTGATTTTTTTTTTATAGATGGTGTGTGTATTGCGTTCCACCAAAACCTTTTGATCCTGGATTTTCTTTACTGTTCTCCGACCTACAAAATCCATTCTTATTTATATTTTTCAATAGGGTTTTTTTCTTCTAACCTTTTATGGGTGGTTAACCTGTGTGATCCTGCAATTTCCTTTGCCATTCAAAATTCTACAGACATCTTTGACGAAAAGAAAAGGTCAGTTCTTGGATTTGGGAATGAATAGAATAGTTCTGCTAGGAGTCATGGGAATTCCTGCATGAGTTCTATGAAATTGATATTTTTAAATATTCAATCTTGTTTTTAATAGCAATGAAAGCTGTCAAATCCTCAATTTGACATTGGGTGAGAGTTTTACCTTGGGTTGCTTGTTTGGCAGGGAGGAATATTACTTGGGCCCTCCGCGCTTGGACGAAACAAAAACTATTTGCAGGCCATTTTCCCACCCAAGAGCATCACGTTGTTAGATACATTAGCAAACCTTGGTCTACTGTTCTTTTTATTTCTCGTAGGCATAGAATTGGATCCTAAATCCCTACGTCGGACAGGGAAAAAAGCCCTTAGCATTGCCATAGCAGGAGTTAGCCTCCCATTTATCTTAGGAATTGGTTCTTCATTTGTCATCCGAGAAACTATAGCAAAAGGTGTAGGCGGGACTTCATTTCTCATATTCATGGGTGTAGCCCTTTCCATAACTGCCTTCCCTGTCTTAGCTCGTATATTGGCAGAGCTGAAACTTTTAACCACCGATGTCGGGCAAATGGCCATGTCAGCTGCAGCGGTCAATGATGTGGCTGCATGGATTCTACTTGCTCTTGCAATTGCCCTATCAGGAAAAAATCTTTCCCCACTTGTCTCAGTTTGGGTCTTCTTGTGTGGCTGTGTTTTTGTTATTTGTTCGATTCTTATTGTGCCTCCAATCTTCAAATGGATGGCTCGGAGATGCCACGAGGGTGAGCCAGTGGAAGAGATGTACGTATGTGCTACCTTAGCTGCTGTACTTGCAGCTGGGCTTATTACTGATGCCATTGGAATTCATGCTATGTTTGGTGCTTTTGTGATTGGTGTTCTTGTCCCAAAGGAAGGGCCATTTGCTGGTGCTCTTGTAGAAAAAGTTGAAGATCTCGTATCTGGTCTCTTTCTCCCTCTGTATTTTGTCTCAAGTGGACTGAAAACAAATGTAGCCACAATCCAAGGGCTTCAGTCGTGTGGTGTCCTTGTTTTGGTCATATTTACAGCCTGTTTTGGGAAAATTGTTGGCACGGTTGTAGTGTCTGCACTTTACAGAGTACCTTTTCGTGAAGCTCTTGCATTGGGCTTCCTAATGAACAGCAAGGGCTTGGTGGAACTTATAGTCCTCAACATCGGAAAGGATAGAAAGGTAATACAAGTATTGTTATTATCATTGCAAAATAACCCTGAATTCTTTTAATAGTTCTTCATCATTTGATTAACAGGTGTTATCGTATTGAAAATGCAGGTATTAAACGATCAAACATTCGCCATCATGGTTGTCATGGCCCTCTTCACCACCTTCATCACCACACCCCTAGTAATGGCCGTGTATAAGCCTGCAAAAAGGGCAAGTAAGGCTGATTACAAGCATAGAACAATAGAGAGGAAAAATCCGAATACTCAGCTTCGAATCCTGGCCTGTTTACGTAGTTCTAGAAACATTCCATCGGTGATAAATCTCGTCGAGGCCTCACGAGGAGTTGAGAAGCGTGAAGGTCTTTGCGTGTATGCATTGCACCTCATGGAGCTCTCTGAAAGGTCATCAGCCATACTAATGGCCCACAAGGCAAGAAAGAACAGACAACCGTTTTGGAATATGGGTCAGCAATCAAATTCAAACCATGTTGTTGTGGCTTTTGAGGCTTTCCGGAGGCTGAGCCAGGTGTCAGTAAGGCCAATGACATCAATCTCTTCACTGTCAGACATGCACGAGGACATTTGCACTACTGCTGAGAGGAAAAGAGCAGCTTTCATAATTTTACCATTTCACAAGCACCAGAGATTGGACGGCACGCTAGAGACTACACGAATTGAATTTCGGTATGTTAATAAGAGGGTACTCGAACACGCACCATGCTCAGTTGGGATCCTACTCGACCGTGGGCTTGGTGGATCAATCCATGTATCTGCAAGTAATGTTGCTTACTTCATCACAGTTCTCTTCTTCGGAGGCCGTGATGATCGTGAAGCCCTTGCTTATGGGGCTCGAATGGCTGAGCACCCTGGCATAAGATTAACAGTCATTCGCTTCTCTGTGGAAACCGAGGGTGTAGGAGAGATTGTAAGAGTTGATGTGGATGGCAATTCTACCACGAAATTGGGTTCAACAGATGAAGAGTATCTTAGCGAGTTCAAGGAAACAATTTCAGAAGACAGCTCAATCAAATATGAAGAGAAAATTGTAAGAAATGCTGTAGAAGCCACTGCCGTGGTCCGTGAGTTTAGTCGCTGCAGCCTCTTTTTGGTGGGTCGATCACCTTTTACTGAATTAGCTTTAGCATTAAACCGGAACAATAGTGAATGCCCAGAGTTGGGACCTGTAGGAAGTTTGTTGACTTCACCTGATTTTTCGATAACGGCTTCAGTTTTGGTGGTGCAACAGTATTATAACGCAGCATCTCCGAATTTAACCTTAAAGATTGCAGAAGAGTTGGGTGATGGAATTACAGGATCCAGCTAACTGTCTTTTCTTAGTTTGAATAAATTTGTCTATTTTTTAGTGCTGGCTAGACATTTAAATCTTTGGATCTTGGCTTAAAATGATCTATCTTTACCATATTGTTATCAGTCAGATTTCTGAAGTTTCAAAGTTCTTTTAAGTGAACTCTGGGATGAACCTTGTGACTTTAAAAGTCCAAATAAAGCAACAGTCAATTCGAAAGGCTATTATTGTGATATATATTGCACTTGCTTCATATATGTTAATGTTTTCCAAAAGTTGGTTTATGCCAACCATTTGCTCCATTTTGATTCAGTTAATGGGTATAACTTATTTCCTCACAAAAAAAATCATCTTTCTGTTGATTTCCTCTTTTGAACAACCATATTATAGTACAGTTAAATGGTTGAGGTGGTAAACTTAATCCAACACATGAACACACCTAATTGCACTAATTTAAAATCCGTTTAAATCCTTCTAAATGTATGAATAGATTTAAATGAGTCATACCTTAAAACCTCAAGTAAATTGAGTTTAAATGATTGAACATGTGTATCTGTAAAAACTCGTTTAAATGTGCACTACCTCTACCTCCACCACCATCTACTACCACCCAACCACCAGTGATGGTTTCAGAATTTTCTGTCAGAGGGTGAAGGACTTTTATCAATATCTACTATTTAAGGGCATCCTAATGATGCATCAAAATTTTTATCAAATTTGAGTAAAAATTTGTGTAAAAAGTCCATTTGATATCAAGTGTTTAAACAGAGATTTTTTAAGCTTCATCAGAACACCGGTCGACCGGGTGGACGACTGGAAGGATGTTTGGCCGGCCAACCAGGCAGTGTAAATTTTTCACAATTTTTTACCTTGAGGTGGCCATTTGAGCGGACGACCAACCGATCGACCGGCCAGTGTAATTTTTTCACAAATTTTTTCCTTGAGGTGGTAATTCGGGAGGACATCCGGCGATGAAAATCCAACAACGATGAACAGTGATTTGATGAAAGGCACATTGGTCTTCAGTTTGATGAAAGAACATTGTAATCATGGTCTTGATACGTATTTGATGAAACTGTTGGAGTAGGAAAAGAAACTACTTTTTATCACATTAAATTTGATGACAATTTTAAGTAATCATTGGAGATGGTCTAATTCAAATAATTTGACAATGATAATTTAAATTTCTCAAAAAAAAAAGAAAATTGAAAACTTTAGCACATTCATATTAATATTTTTACCAAAGAAAAATGTAACTACATAAATTTTTATAGTACCCTCTATAAGTCTTGGTTTGGCAAACTTCCCAGGTTAAATAATCACAAAAAGGCAAAAAAAAGTCAAAAAAACCAAAAAATCAATAAGCCAAAAAAGCCAACAAAAAGTTTGTCATTCCAAAGCCAAAAAGTTAAAAAAACCAAACTAGAAAACCAAACAAACAAAAAAGTCTCAAGCTAAAATAGTCAAAAAAAGCCAAAAAGCCAATTAAAAAGGTCATTACCAAACAATCCCTAAGTATTCATATTTTGAAATAGTTGCATGAGGTTATTATATTTGTTTCCAAATAAGCGGCAAGAAATCATTAATCAGTGTTAGACTTAATCTTATATCGCCAATTTAAGTCATCCAAACTTGATTAATATAATATAAGGATATCTCGACTTATTGACAATTAATTTTGATATGGATTTTTCAACAAATTAATTTCCCATTCAATTGAGCAATTGATTGTTTTTATAAATCATTATTAAATAAGTTCTTGAGAAAATAAAATCTTATTTGGTGATAAGGACATGCCAAAACAAATAAAGAAATATGTGATATTTAACAGATAGGGTGTTGAATGAGTGACATGTGTCACATTTCAATGGATAGGTAGTTTGGTAAATTTCAAAATATAAGAAAATAGGCTTGGTGAATTTCAACAGATAGGTTGATTTCAATAGATAATAGTCATTTTGGACAAATTGTGTTCTTTTACCCCAAAGATATTAGAGTATGGGCCTAATGATCCAAAAGATTAAGAAATAAACTTATAACCTGAGTGCCCTAAGTTCTTTCTATTGACAAATCATTTCAATTATTGTTGATAAAAAAAAAATTAATTTCACAAGTAAATACGTTGATGAGTATATGAGATCCCTTTTTTTATCTCTATCAATTTTCTAGCAAGATTAATCAAGTCTTTGGCCTAATGATTGTATGACATCAATTTGTTGTGTACATCTCTGTAGCTTGCTTTTTGTGTTTCTTTTGGATATGACTAGCCCTACAATTCGGACTCCCGTAGTTCTGAATTTGATTTCACAAGTGCAATGTGAAATAAATAAATACAAATGAGTCTAAATCCGACAAATCTTTTGGAAAATCGATTTTGAATCAAAATGCCAAAAATGAATTGTTTTTCCAGATTACAGAGTTGCCACCTAAATGTTTTTGAGAAACTTAGGAAACTCGACACTCGTGCTAAAGGCCATTAGTTCGTCATCACCAAAGTGTCTCAGCTCGGGAATTTAGCTATGAGAGGGGAAGGTCATGAATTGAGCACACTACTCACCCGATCAAAGAGCGGCCTCTATTAATCATGATGTGATTTTTATTTAGATTATATGCTCTTGTTCCGATTGTTAAATTAACATGATTATGTGTTGCACACAAGTATAAAGTAATTTGTAAAAATTGAAACATTTGATTTCATATTTGTTTGAAAAGTGTTTTGAATACGCGTCACTTGAAAAAGTGGGCTCGTATGTACATCAATCAATTTACTCTAATTCAAGCAATTAGCCTTCATCCACTGGCATTCAAACAGATATATCACTTAAGCATTTAGCCTCATGGAATATGCTTGATATGGCGACAATCACATGCAATGCAATATACTAAAGCAATAAGTGCTCACCTAGTACTCCAAGGCAAGCCAAACAAAGCAAAATAATTAGAAAACATACATGCTCCTAACTTATGCAAAATGATTAATGTGACACATACAATCACGCAAGAAAATAGGCTCGGCTACTAGCATGGTATATGATTCCATTCAAGACATATGATAAATCACGTATTCATTTAAGAAAGTTGAATGCGACATCAGTTAGTATGATGAGCCAAACCTTAAATGCATGCGAGACGAGTGTATGCAAACATGGGAAATGCTAAGGAAACATGATGTTCTATGCTACCATAATAAGTAAGTAAATAAAAGGGAGAAAGAAATGGGGTTGGAAGACACACGCCATCAATACAAATTTTTCCCTCGGGTAAGAGGGTCCGAATGTCCAATTGTCTGAATTAATAGCTAACTATTACAACATCAAAAGAATGAATTGAGCTAAACTAACAACTTATTATCTATTCGAATGAATTCTAATTTAACTAGCTATCTATCCACAAGGGTATTGTAACAATACTAACTACAACAATAATATACAAATGAAATTGCAACCATAATATTTACATCTATAATAATTACAAGAAGAATAATAATACAACAATGATTATTACAAGGATGCTAATAAAAGAATTGATCTAAGCAATCATGAGGATGATCGCATGCACAGTGTTCAGAAGCTATTTTGTCTGCCCAGACTGCTCTGCCTCACCTTCAGCCATTGCCCTCTGTTTCTGCAACAGGTCATTGCTTACCACACATTGTCGGCCCCTAATAAGGCTCGGTCGGATCCCAATAAGGCCGGTTGTTCCTATTTTTCTTGCCAAAACCTATTTTGTGCTTTGAGGTGAGGTCAGTGCAGACAGAGCCTTTTTAGGTCCTGTTTGTCCCCCCTGCTCTTCTTTATCATGTGAAACCCAAAAGAAGAACAAATTCGCGTTCGAAACCATCAATTGGCACAAGTTGATGGCTTGATGATCCCAACCACGTTTGGACAAAATTGATAAATGAGATGAACAATGACCAGCTCTCCCTCTTATCATGATGGCTCAAAGAGGGAAGTAGACATGCTCTAAGTCTTATCAACGTATCATGGATTGATAAGTGACAATTCTCGGAGCAATGGACTTGACATAACGTCTGTCCAAATCCAACTAACTTTAAACATTTTCTTTGTGTTAGTTTGGTTCATTTTAAGCCGATTTTATTAGTCCTTTCCATCCTTTAATCAATTTGTCCAAAGTGATGTTTAAGTCCACTAAATGAGAGGAAATGTCAAACGAGAAGTGATTCATATCATGAAAGAGAGACTACGCCTTGACGATGAACCTCTATAGAGATTAAGCCATTGAGCATAGGTCTCTTTCCCATGCCTTGAATAACCATCAATCTTTTGAAATAACTCACTCTCAAACAAAAGAAAAGAAGAAAAGAAGGAGGTTGCAGAAATGACTTATTGCAAAATTGATTATTTAGAATGAGACTCTTGACATAAAGAGTAAGTAAAGAAAAGCTCTTACAAGATATTCAAAGCAAGGATAACAAAACAAATAAGGTATAAAGACTTATAACACAACAAGAGAGGTATTCGAAGCATAAACTATTTAAATAAATTAGGACAGCCCTAAAACAGCCCTAATATGTGAAAAACAGTGACCCAAATTTATGTTAAAGAGCACAAAAAGGTAGGAAAGAATAAGAAATCACAAGGCTAGTAAACAAGAACAAGGAGAGGTGGCCAACCCGTCCATTTTTGAGAGTTTTAAACCTTGTTTTTTCAGCTCTTTTAACCTTTGAAAATCAGTTTGAAAGTCAAGAAAAATAGTGGTAGACCCAAGGAGATGAGCTATGAAGTAAGGTGCAAGAAAGGGGGTTAGCCCTCTCTACCTTTGGTAGCTATTCAACCCCAAGTTCCAACACTTGAAATAGACTCAAAACAGCACAAAAACACTAGAAAGAGATAGAAAAATACTAAAATGAAAGCAAAGGAAAATGTGGCAAGTTTGTACCTCTTGAAGAGAACAAACTTTTATTGTAAACCAAACTTAATCCAAAGGCCCTCTCAACCTTGAATGATGATTCACAAGTCTCAACCAAGGCTCTAAAGGGCTGCCCTAAGGCTGTGTGTGGTATATAGATATAGTATAAGGATTATATAATATCTTAAAGCTAGCTTGTAAAGAAAGAATGAGCTTTTAAGGGTGATTTTCCTTCTTCGAAATTTTTCTAACCCTTAATATAATGGCTTCAGTTCGTATTTATAGAATATGAGCAAAATAGGTCACAAATACCTTCAAAAAATAATAGCTGGTTGATTCGTGCCCATAACAATGTTTCTTGCCAAA